CCACCTACCACCCACTGAGGGATGCTTTTAAGAGTTTTTCTCCTCACTGCATTTGGGCGATTTGATTTTGGTGTGTGTGGGATAGTGCTCCTCTTGTTTCTTCCATTTTAGGTTTATTTCTTTTATCTGTGGGTTCACAGTTTTAATAAATCTAGACTTTTTCTTGTTTTCTTCTTTCTGTTTTCCCCCTTCAAGGACTTCAAAGACCTCAAGAACTTACATATCTGGCTGCTGGGAATTTCCCCAAAGTTCACTGACACTCCGTTCTTTTGTTTTGTCTTATATTATTTAGAAATCCTTTTTTCCCCTTCTGTGGATTATTTTGGCGAGCTTCTGTTGTTATATCTGCATATTCACTAATCTTTTCTCCTGCTATATCTGTTCTGCCTTTAGTTGTGTCCATTTAATTTTTTATCTCAAACATTATAGTTTTCAATTCTTAAATATTTAATCTATGTCTTCATACACCCCCCATGTTTCTAATTAGCAAGTTTAATCATTTTACCTGCTTGAACACATAGAATGCAATTATAATAACAGCTTTAATGTTGCCATATACTTATTCAACATCTCTATTCTTTTCTGGTTCATTTTTGATTAATGAACTTTTCTTTTCATTGTGCATTAGATATTTTTATCCTTTGCTTGCTTGGTGAGTTTTTTTATTAGGAGCCACACAGTATGTGTGTGTGTGCATTATAGATATATAATTTTTATTTTTGTTTTTCAGTGCAGTTAAAATCTTTGAAACATTTTGATCCCCATTGATGCTGCGTTCTAAGGCTGATTGCAGGTTGCATTTACCGCTTTCTGTCACAGTTTTGCAGTGATGTATATTTGGATTAATTTCTATAGTGTTTGGGATGGCAAATGCCCAGATACTCCTTGTTCTCATATAGTGAAGCTAAGAAAATCTCTCATGTAAAGATATAAGACCACGTGAGTGTCAAAATACGGGAGTCAAAATATAAGACCACGTTAATTCCACAATTCATGATAGCAAATATTCTTTATCCTTCTCAGAAGTCACTTTACACAGTGGAAATCATTTTGCAATGGTATTTTTGTGTTCACTTGTCAAAACCTTTGAATTCCTTCCAATTGCTATTCAAAATCTTCTGAAAATATGGTCTAAAGCTTTCAGATGCATTTTTCCATGTTTTTCTGGCTTGTTTTGACTTGGTTGCATGGTGAGCCCCTCAGCATTTCTGCTATGACATAAATTTACCTGGAGAGCTTAAAACTTTAAAAAAATATATAATAGTTTTGCCCTCATTGCTATCAATGGAAATGTCAGAACCCTTTCAAATCCGTTATCAAACAGAGCTCCCCGGAGACATTAGAGATCTGATGGTACTTTATCACCTCCAGCTCTTTTGATGCTGCCAACATTTTCTTAAGAAAAACAGTTTATTGCACGGCTCCCAGGTGGATATTCTGGATCCACCATGTGCAAATCCTACCTCCAGTGCTTGCCAGCAGTGTGGGATAGAAGTTACTTAATTTCCTTGTGTCATAATTTCTCTGTAAAACAGGGATCATAATAGCACTTAGCTGATCTACACTTTAAATATACATAAACCACTTAGAACTGTGTCTCGGACATAGAACATGTATAAGGATTACCCATTATTACAGGAGAGCAGAAATAATGAAGTAGAATGCAGATTACTAAATAAAAAAAACCCTCAGATCTCCTTCTCCTTTACATTCCAATGACAGTCTTAACTCTGATACATTTCTAACAAAAAATTGTTTCTGTCAGTCAGGACAGAAATCTGTATACACTAGAAATGATACTTTTCCCCCAAATGTGCAAGGTGCTTTAGAATTGGGAAAATAACGTGAAGGTTACTGACATATATGGAGCACGTAATCTGTACCAACTGCCCTGCTAAGTGTTTTACGTGAATTGTGTCATTGATGTTTTACAACTAACCCATGATTCATTTTCCTTCCTCTTTTGAAGACAGGGAAATTGAGACTGAAGTAATTTGTCTGACATTATACAATTGATTTCTCAGCCAGAAACACAAGCATGACACCACAAACCACTGTTCTATATACTTCTCTATAAATGCCAGCTGCAATTACTTTCCCGTATGAAAATCATCTTTCCATTCCGACTTGGCTAAACCTTGCCCTTATTTACCCGTCAATCTACTTAAAACTCATTTCCTTTCTGAATTTTCACCAAGCACCTGCTGCTTCTCGTGGCAATGGTATTTATAAGTCAGTTCTCCCCCACCCCACAATAACACCACTTTGGAAATGGAAGGCATTAAAGAACTGCAGCCTACGGAGAAATCCTCCTGACTTTTGTCCTGGAGATGCTGCCTCAGCAGCCTCTTGTTTTAAAGATTAGCCGGGAGTCAGAGAGTTGGCAGAGAGAATAAATGTCAGGTTTCAAGATTTAAAAATCCGACTGTGAGTGTTCCTGAAAATTATATAACCAGATTTGTCTGATCCTTCCCAAATCCAGGAGAGGTAGTGGGGCTAGGAACTTTTAGTAGCAAATAGTCCCAAAGCAAACACATTCACCGTTGTTGGTTTACGTATCCAGTGCCGCATGTCATGTGGATGTTTGAAGTTCTATTTCCTTAAGCCGCCAGGAGACTACAGGAAAGGCAACGTGTAAACAAGGAGTCTGACAGCAACCCTAAGGGACCCAGTTTTCAAATAAATGTGCCTAATGAAATCCCATTGATTGTACACATGCTCTTAAAACCGCGACTACTCTTCTGATAAACCTCAAACTTATTTTTTTGACAGCCCTTTGTTTCATTTAGTAATGAATATTAATGCTGTATTTTATTGTAGGGTCACATTTTCCCTTCTCTTTTGGAAAGATAGTTAATACAGCAGCCGTTTAATCATTTATACAGGTGGGTCGAAGATTTGTGATATCCCAATTGGGTCACTGAATTGAGACCATATGTACTTGCCAAATTAAAAGGGGTTACAGAGGGAATTTTCCTGTGCATAATTAGAATGGCAGCCTGCATTCCAGTCCCTGGGGTACAAGCTTGGCTTCCCAAGGCCCAGTGGAATCCTGCCAGGAGAGGAAACAACTGTGCCCAGAGCTCCTTTCAAGAAATCTTTTCACATCACCAACTGTCTGCACTGGGTGCAGAATTCCCAGCACCTAAATAAAAATTTCTTTCTTGAGCATCTATGGGAAAGAGTGCAAATCGCTCAAGAATGAATTCAAGAGAATTAAAAGTAGAGTTCAAGTCAATTCAATACGTATTTACTAAATACTTGATGTGTACTGGTCACTGTGGGTGACACAAAAGGACATTCACAACCTCGGGGAAACTGCTCAAAAATGTAGTCAAAATGAAATGGGCAGAAATGACATCGGGTTGAGTTTATTTTAAGTTAGTTTTTCTCAGGCATGGGATTTTCATATGTTGGCAGTTTTTTAATTTAATTTTGTTATTATTTTTTTCCTTGCAGTTTGGCTGGGGCCGGGTTTGAACCCACCACCCTCGGTATATGGGGCCGGTGCCCTACTCACTGAGCCACAGACGCTGCCCCATATGTTGGCAGTTTTTATGTATCTGAGCCACAAGTGTTTGCATAGACCTACAATCACCTCCAGTTATTTTTTATAATTTATAAGCATTTTAGTAATTTTTAGATGAAATTGCTGATGATCTTATAAAATTATGCACTTTTTTTGTTATTTGCAGCTAGAAAAAATGTTCCAATTCTCAATTATTTCTATTTACTGGTTACATTGTTCACATTAGAATTTTAACAAGAATGTTTTTTAAAGAAAATTGGTTCCAAACAATTTAAAAAGTTAAGAAAATTGGTTCAAAATAAAAATCTTCAATTCCTAAATTATGAATTTATAGCTCTGGGCTACTAGCCTATGTAACTTTAAACTTTAAAGGGCAGTTTGAATCACTTTTCCCCAATTGCTGAGATTTCCTTTAGGCCTCTGCTACTTACTTACCTCTTTTACTAAGTGTGATAAAGTGACTAAATTGTAGATTATTAACTGGTTCAATGTTTCCAAAATGAATTTTGTCTGATTAATTTTTGGAAAACATTTGCTTTACTATTCCCACCAAGCTTAGGAGCCATGTGACTTAGTTATTATAGTTATAAATATATCTAGGGTAATGTGTGATCTATCTTATATTATCAAGTACTACGTACTGTATATAATTGCTTGTGCAGGTGTCTGTATGACAGGAGGTTTGCTTACACAGCGTCCCCACACACAGTGAAGTAATGTTTTGTGCTGTTGTCCGTGTCGACTGTGATGTCATTAGGCACTGGGAGCTTTTCAGCACCACTCTAACCTCATGGAACCCTGTCATGGCACACGAGGTTCATTTTGTTGACAAAGACACCGTTATGCCGCATGTGACTGTACATCAGTGATCCTTGTGCACAGGGGTCGATCATTATCTGTGCCACAGCTAATTTGTTTTCAATTTCTTGCTGTTTTTGACAGAAAAATGTACAGAAAAGTTGTGTAGGTTAAGTTCAATTTTCTTTAGTGTTTGTCCATCAAACATTGAAGATTGAATAACATCAGTATCAGGCCCTGTCCTGGTCCTGGAGGCAGAGGGATAAATATGGCTTGAGCATTCACTCAGGCTGTGTTTCTGACACCACGTTTTCAGATCTCTGCATCCTGCTGTACGATCTGGCTGACCACTGCGTGGGGACATAGAATCTCCCCACTAGAAAACATAGTCCAGACATTATCAGGAACACTGACTCTGAGCAGAACTGTGGTTGTCTCACTTAACATGACGAGTTTATTCATACCTCATAATCACATTTTATAAAAGCTCCACGTTGCAGATATTCTGGAACTGGAAGGCATCTTCTCAGTTTCGTTATTAGGCGCAATTGAAAAGGACATGTACAGATTTCATAATTTTTGAAGCTCAGAAGTGATGCCTATTTTGTGATATAAATGGATCGCAACAGAAAAGTTAACTTTTTTCCTCTCACTTCTCTTTTCCTTCCAACAGTTTTACCTAGCCACACGTGTGGGAACCCTGGAGAAATAGTGAAAGGCGTCCTCCACGGAACAAGATTCAACATAGGAGACAAAATCCGGTACACCTGCCTCTCGGGCTACGTCTTGGAAGGTCACGCCATCCTGACTTGCATCGTCAGCCCCGGGAACGGTGCATCGTGGGACTTCCCGGCTCCTTTTTGCAGAGGTAGCGTATGGCCGCCAGGTGCTGCTGTGCTGGCACCTGCGCCAGGGAAACAGCTTGGGGCTGATGGTGCAAACGTTTCCCCATTTGTACATGAGAACGTGTTGGGCGTGGTCTTGTTTCACTCATCTGTTCCCCAAAGTAATATTATGGATTATGTAAGAACCATGACTGGCCCTGTGGACTCAGTGAGGAGTTTGAGCCTTATCTTGTCTCCCCAGTATCCCAAATTTTCCTCATTCTACTTCACCGGCTTTATGGACTCCTGACGATTTTGATCACCTCTCGTCATAGGTGCGATGTGGATGTGTGTCTTTCATGATTTGATAGGTCCTTTTTAATCCTTGTCAAACATTACAAATCACCTTTGGTAATTCAATGTTTATTTTTTGAGAATACTTTCCACACTCGTAGGCCTCTGAAATGAGGTGCTTGCGACCTGGGCCCTGTTCCAAGGGTTCACCATCGGGACTCAGAGCGAGGTTAGAATTCCTTCACCAGAAGTAACACTGTATTCAAATTGTTCCTCTATCCTAGAGAAATTCTAGGGTGACTATTTCCTACTACAAGCATCCATTATTCTTCCTTAAATGCTCATTTCCTCTGCATCTTGCTAAAATCTGTTATATTTCTCTTCATGCTTTCTTCTTGCTATAAGTATTCTTTATCTTGCAGTTTTCAAAACAGTGGTGTCCACCAAGTTCACGGCTATGTCCCAATTCCCTTGTTTCTATGAACTCCTGTGTCCTAATTGGCCATATTCAAGGTCACAGCAGGACTGCTACTTGGACATCCTAAATACATCCTTTCTTTTCTTCCTTATTCCTACCCATTCCTACCTCTGTTTCTGTTTCATTCCCATCCCCTCTGGATAGAATATAAGTTGAGTCTGGCTTTGTCCTCTACATTATTTCTTGAAACCTTTGGATCTCAAGATGTGCCAATTTTTTTTCACTTCAAATTGTATTTCACACATCCCTTTTCCCTCCCACTCTACTATTCCAGATATTTTTTTTCCCATCTCACTTAGACTGACTTCAGGTTTTCTAACGGGCTCTGTGTCTAGACTCCTGGCCACCATCCTACATTCTGCTCCCAAATTATACTACCAAGATACTCCTCTTATTATAATCTTTCTTCTCTCAGCCAGACGACTTCAATGACTCAGCAAGAATGAAGTGCAAACCTTCCACCTTAGCTATCAATTAACCCCATAACCTGGCTCTGACTGAGTTGCACAGTTCCATCAGCGAGTGTGCCGGACACAAATTGTAAGCATCACTCTGGAGCACAGGGCTGTGCTGAGGCCGCCCTGCCCTGGCTCGCCTGCAACTGTGAGCTTCTGGGTTCCTGGACATCATTCTGCCAGCTTGAAGTCTGCCCTAGTGACACCAGGGGCATCAGAAAGCACTGCAAAGCAGGTTCTCAGTTTTTTTCTTTTATCCAAAGAGCTGCCTTCCCAGCCCCCTATTCCAGGCCACACCCCAGGCATTTGCTGTCATTAGTCTTACTAGCAGATTCCCCTTTTATCTGCTGATGGACATAAATCTTACCTGTTTATCAAGTTCAGACTTAAGTCCAAATTTCAGATATCTGTTGCCATTGCAACTCAGTTTTAAGCTTTCTTTATGGAGGGAGCCCTTCTGTCTAGAGCATTTATTTGTATTCACATTTCATATTTTAACCCCATGTCTTCGTGACGCTGGTCCAGCCAGTCTGTGATTTCCCAGGAGAAGATCATATGGCGCCGTTGAGGCAGGGAGGTGTCTGTATTCTTAGCCTAATCCATCAACACTTCTCTTCACTTCTGTAACACTTTTCTGCTTATCCTTGCCCCAGTGTTTTTTTTTTTTTTCCCTTAATTGGAGGGTCTTTACTACTTCCACAATTATTTGGAGAGTTAAAGTTGGCACAACAATCATCTTTTCTGTTCCATCACCATTTTTTAAAAAATTTTAACTGGGGTGATGCCTGTGGCTCAAAAGGGTAGGGCACCGGCCCCATATGCCAGAGGTGGCAGGTTCAAATCCAGCCCCAGCTAAAAAAAAAAATATATATATATATATATATATTCTCAACTAGAGCAGTTGATTTGTTATAACAAATATTTTTCTTCTATATTGTAGATTATTAAATTTACATTTGCATTTTTCTTTCTCAATACTTGAAGTCTAATATGACTTCAAAAGTCAATAAATTAGATATAATTAATTTATGAAAAAAATTTGAAAGACACAACAAAAATTCTCATTGATTTGGGTACCCGGATCATAAAGAATAATTGGTTCAATTCTTATAAATGTGCATAAATTTCCATGAAAGACATACATTTCAGCAACCTGGAGGTGAGATAATTTTTAAAAAATGAAATAAGCATATTTTCTGCTTTCCCAAAGTTCCAGTTATTTAGGTCCAGAAACTGCTTGAGGAGTCATCTTAACATGGAGGCTAACAGTAACAATACCACATTATTTTACAATGACCTTTTGCCAGTATTATAAAAACTTACATTTTTTTCAGACTGTCAGTATTTCACCTGAAAACAACCCCTAACACCATAGGATATGTGTGTCGGATATATAGCTATGTGTTGCTCTTTAAAGAAATACTGTATCATTATGCAGTTAACATAATATAAAACAAAATGGGGGATGAGTCAGCTTTGCATAAAACGGTCTAACTTAAACAGAAGAGAAGTATCAACTTGACTTCTCTTCAAGAACGAGAGCTCAGATTTATTTTTTCTGCAGGTATCATCTTTCACTTTTTTCTCACTTATTCTTGATATTTTCAACTTACTATCTTTATCTTCCTTAATTTCACTTTATTCACTAAACATTATTGTATCATCTCTGCTAGCCCTGAAAGGATTCACTGTTTTGTTATGTACAGGTATGATGTCTGTCTCAGGAAGAAAAATGCAAAAAAGGCAAAGAAAGAAAAAGGATAGTTTCAAAAAAGACGCTTTCAGGTCATCATTAAAATGCCTTCTTAATTTGCTTTATGTTTCTTCTGCTTTATTGTTAAATCATAAATTATTAAACCAGAATGTCAGGGGCCAGGATAGTTCATAAACTACTTAGAGCTACAGGATCCAGGAGGAAAAGAAAGTATCAAACCCAAAGGGAAAGGTATTCTTCTAGAATGGAAAATTCAAAAGGCCGGCCACTGCCTCTTGAGATCAGTGTTGACTTGGAGATTGGTTTCTCTGCATCTGGCGCTCGATCAAGGTCGCTCACCTGCTCCGTCTGGTTGGCCGAGGAAGGAAAGGGTCTGGGTTGTCACAGCAAGGTCCTCCACACAGGGGTGCTCTTCCTGGAACGTCTCTCCTTTTGGTTAGACTTCAGCCATGAGGCCACTTTTCACTGCAGATAAAGCCTTCCAGGAAAGGGAACCGTTGGTGAACTCAGAAAGAAGCAAAAACAGATTGGTGAACGACAGGCACATTTGTGTCACAATTGTCTTTTATTTGTCCTGAAATTTTGAATTATCTTTATTTTCCTCTGACGATTAATAAAACTTTTGCTTTTATCACAACAATCCAGATATCTTCTCCTTGTTTAACTATTCAAATTCTTGCTATGAATGGAGCCCGAGCTGCTTTCTGAAGGTCATGGACTTACTTCTATTACTCAGCATTAATTACTTGATATTTGGAAAGTGGTCATTTTCCTGTCATTCCTGAAGTTTCCTTGGCATGTTGTCCCTTCCCCTGACCCTGTTTTCCCCAAATCTTCCATCTGCCTCTTCCTGCCCCCCCCAATGGTTTCTAGGCCAAAGCAGTGCCTTGGAGACCTCCCTAACTAGCCCACTCAGTCTGAACACAAATTCCTAAACAGTCTTCGTTTCTCTTAGGTCTATGATCTATTTTGTTTCTTTAAAACACTAATTTCAAAATCCAATTTTTTAAACAGTAATGCTACACTTCAATGTGAAACATCTACAGTTCAAATTCTCATCAGCCCCGTATGCTCATGGCCACTGTACTGGACAGCTCAGATTCAACACGTGGAGGAATTTTAATTATTTTCCTCTAAACTCATTGTCAGTTTGTGTAGAGCTATGATGCTTAGAATGGGTTTAATTTCCACTTACGATATAGAGTTTAATGTACAGATGTAGTTTAATAACAAAGATTGATAAGAAAAATGGGCTTAAATCCACGACTCTATTCCAGAATATGACTGGAATTTTATCTAAATAGGATCAGAGAGAAGAGTCTTTTTTAAATCAGTTTAGACAAAAGATAAGAGTGAGATAGCTCTTGATTAATCCAATTAGTTTTCTCAAAAGAAATCTCATTTAAAGCCCATCTTAGTTTTAGAAGAAAGGACATCAGGATCTGATGAAAGAAGATCACTAAAGACTAAAAAAGATGGAGATGTGCTGGGGAGGGAGCAGGGAGGTGGGAGAGCTCTGTGCATGGGCACCTGAAGAGTCAGCAAAGCATAAAGTGGAGTGGGGGAGGTGGGGGCTGTTACTGTCAGCAAGTCAGGGGCCTTTTCAGACTTGGTCTTTACCATGCACACTCCTGACCTCAGGCATTCACGTGACCCGAAAGTGGTGACATGTACCTGCAGCACCTGTGCATGGATGATCCATAGAGAAAGAAAGAAAATATTTTAAGGAAATGTCATTCTCGGCATCAGTTTGAAGTTTAGGTGAAATGCTGCACTTTGCAAAGCCTTGAACACACTCAGAAGCCAAGCAAGCGTAAGTCAAGTTCAAGGGTAGCACCTTGGTCAGCAGCTCTGTGGAGCTGCCCAGGCCAATGCCCACTCCACCCATCAGGTGTTCTGTCTTTGGTCAATTTATTTAATGTCTCTGGTCTCAGTTCTTACCTGTGAGTTAACTCAGGCAAAATGCGGAGCAAGGAGCCTGACACATGCAGAAATTCTAAAATACCAGTAAATATAATGACTGTTTCCAGCTCCCCACTCATCTAATCCTGAAAGCATCTTTTTTTTTTTTTATTGTTGGGGATTCATTTAGGGTACAAGAAA